ATGAGAATGAAAAGAGGAACAATGTTACCGATGGATGATCCAGGCCAAAGGATACTCATAATCTCTTGGAGGTTAACCTGCAAACTATGGTAAGGAGAGTTCCAAACCAAAGGGCATTCGGAAACTCTCGAAGGTAAACCTGAAAATAAACCCATGTAGAACTCAGAAGTTCTCAGACCCGAGATGATGATGGGAGAAAAGTCCATTCCAAAGGGCTCTCGGATACTTTCCAAAATCTGTTTATGCTTTAGCGTATCGAGATCTACCTTTTCAAGCATAAGTCCACTAACCATGTTAGTAACAGATCTGTTATCCATAGTTAGGCTACTTACCTTGTTGTTTATGGTACACAATGTCTTGTATATCATTTCTCTTTGCTCAGGTTCTCCCGGATTCAAAATGGTGCTAGGAATTTGAGTAGTGACAAGAAGATCTCTATTGTATGGATACTCAATCTCCTCTTTGACATCTTCTGCTGTTGTGTCATCCCTCGATGATGAAACAATCCTCTCTTTGTAATGAGCATTATGATCCTCCATCTTGCCTTTGTCTTTTATTTTGGGTAAGTGGTGGCTTGCCAATGTTTGTTCTTTGACGTGGATGTTCCCCATTAACCTCTTGTTAATCTGATGTTCTAGTTGCGTTGCCACATGAACGAGACCTCTCAGATCATAGTAAATATGTTGTTCTACTTCTCTCGCAATTTTGTGTTCCAATCCATCTAAAAAGTGTGCCATGACATCTTCCTCCTTGTCGTCTATTTCTAAACGGTTGCGAAGGTGTTCAAACTCATCGAAATATTCCTCGACCGTCTTGCTTCCCTGCACTATGTTACGAAATCTATATTGCAGTTCAAGAAGATAGTGTTTTGATACATACCTTTTACGCATTATCACTTTCATCTCTTTCCAAGTTATAATCGGGTCGTAACGTGCACGTCGCCTAATGGCCTCTTCTTGCTTCCACCAATTCAATGCATTGCCAATGAGTTTGCTCATGGCATATTGCACCTTTCTATAATCCGAGCCTGCATAACTTTCAAAATTTTCTTCCATCCGCTCCTCCCATTCGAGATAAGCTTCTGGATTATTTTGCCCCGCAAATGTATGAGGTTTTAGTTCAGGTTTGTTACCTTGATGTCGTTGGACATGTCGCTGCCCTCGGATGATCTTTTCTTCCTCATATTCATACTCATAACGCCCACAATCATGTACAACTCTTTTCTTTTGGCTCAGATTTTCAATTCTAGGCTTGTTGAAATCCATATTCGTTGACCTTTCATATTGAAGGTTGTGTATTCCCCCAAACATAGGTTGCATACATTCTTTTTCAAGACGAGTTAATCGTGTTTGAATACCTCGTAGGATTTTCAATGTGGTAGTCTCTTCTTCTCTTGACATAATCATCATTTGTTTTTTTTTCCAAGATGGGTTAATCAAAGACAAAATAGAAACAGAAACTTGAAGCAAAAACGAAAAAGAATCGGGTTTAGGATTACCTCTTCACCGGTGGAACTTCTTGTTGTGTTTTTCGATTTTCTTCAAAACAAAAAGTGAATACCAAAGTGAAATCAAATAGAAAGATAGAATTACCTCGCGATGGTCCTTGAACCGGGCTCTTTTTTATTATGATCAAATCTGCTGGAAAAAGTTGAAATACAATAGCTTAAATAGAAAAGGATAGGGAAAATACAAAAGGAAACGAATTAACACCTAAGCAACAATCTATGGCAACATTTCCACCTAAGCATTGACTGCAAGAGAGAAATGGAAAGCTTGAAATCTCCATGGAATCTATCAGCAACGGCTAGTGCAAGAAATGGCAAGGTATTATGTCTGATTTCCTTCATATCCGAACTTGCCTTTCTTGAGTGATGAGTTGTCTTCGAAATTTCCTTATTTGTATCCAACACCTCCTTGATCTGATGGCGAGATTTCCTTACTTGATTCTGCAGAAATGTTGTCCTAAATTGCCCTTAATGAGTGTTCCGAATTTGGTAAGTTGAGTTGCATTGATGTCAACTCTATTCCTTATGTAGATGCATTGTCTTCAAGTGATCTTATGCAGCAGGATTCAAGTGTTGGCTCAGGTCTTCTGCAACATAAGCACATGCTCCTAGGTGGATCAGGTGGTAGACAACAAGAGCTCAAAAACGAGCAAGCTCTTGTTGCTTCTTCCGCAAGTTTTGGATGCCTCTAATGTCTTGGCCACGAACTTGTTGATTATTGAATGCAGACTCCGTGCTCTTTCCCTTGTGAGTGGTGGGTCGGGAATGATCGGAAAAACTGATTCGTTGGTTGCCTCTCCTTGCTTGATATCCTCCCTTGCTCCTTTGTGCTTTTCTTTGTCTCCTTGCTTGTCCGAAGTTGCCTCATCCTCGGTGTGGTGTACCTCGTTCTTGTCCAAAGTAGACCGGCTGTCGATGTCCTCATCACTTCCATGATAGGATCACGTGATAAGAGAGAAGTGAAAAAAAAAAATACAAAAAACTGATTCCGAAACAGAGAAGAAGATGTTCCTGGATCGTTTATAGCTCTGATACCATGTTATTAAGTGAAGATTGAGATGAAATACGAGCTTCTAGGCTGGATTAGATAGCCTAGAACTTGAGAATTCTGACAGAATAGAAAGAAGGAGAGATGAACACCAAGAGAGAAGAAAAGATTTTCTCATATATTCAAGAATGATATTTTTACAAAATAAATAGAACAACCTAGCTAAGCAAGAGGAAAGGAAAGAATATACACAAAAGGAAGTTACAATCTGTACATATGAAGATATGGAAATAAGGAAATAACTCATATATAACATAAGGAAGTGTCCGTTTGAGAGTAATCTTCATCAGATTGCTTGATCCCTTGATGTCGACCTTTCCTAATATGCATGGACTTGGGCTGAATCTTCAAGCTATGGGCTTTGTCAAGTTGGGTCGAGATGTGGGCTTGGGCTTCAGCAATTTGTGTTATCCTCTTTAACACTCTAAACGTATTTCGGTGCACTCAAAACATGTTTAGACGAACTCTAAACATGTTTCGACGCACTCTAAATATGTTTTGACGCACTCTAAAATTGTTTTAATGCACTCTAATCATGTTTGTATGCACTCTAAATATGTTTCGACGCGCTTTAAACATGTTTAGATGCGCGTTGAATATGTTTTGACGTGCTCTAAACATGTTTCGACGAGCTCTAAACATCTTTTGTTGCACCCAAAACATGTTAAAACGCACTCTAAACATGTTTCGACGCACTCTAAAAATGTTTCGATGCACTCTAAACATGTTTGGATGCACTCTAAGAGTGATTGGATGCACTCTAAAAATGTTTCGACGCACCCTAAAAATGTTTGGATGCTCTCTAAACATGTTTGCATGCACTCTAAGTATATTTTGACACACTCTAAACATGTGTTGATGCGCTCTAAACGTGTTTTATTGCCCTCAAAACACGTTTAGATGAACTCTAACATGTTTTGACGCACTCTAAATATGTTTTGACGCACTCTAAAATTGTTTTAATGCACTCTAATAATGTTTGTATGCACTCTTAATATGTTTCGACGCACTTTAAACATGTTTGGATGCGCTCTGAATATGTTTTGACGTGCTCTAAACATGTTTCGACAAACTCTAAACATCTTTTGTTGCACTCAAAACATGTTTCAACGCACTCTAAACATATTTCGACGCACTCAAACATGTTTAGACGAACTCTAAACATGTTTAGACGAACTCTAAACATGTTTCGACGCACTCTAAAAATGTTTTAATGCACTCTAAACATGTTTGGACGCACTCTAAACATGTTTCGACGCACTCTAAAAATGTTTCGATGTACTCTAAACATGTTTGGATGCACTCCACTCTAAAAGTATTTGGACGCATTCTAAACGTGTGTGGACGCACTCTAAACATTTTTGGATGCACTCTAAGTCTATTTGGATACACTCTAAACATGTTTCGACACACTCTAAAAATGTTTGGATGCTCTCTAAACATGTTTGGATGCACTCTAAGTATGTTTTGACGCACTCTAAACATGTTTGGATGCATTCTAAACGTTTTTGGACGCAGTCAACGTGTTTCGTTGCACTCAAAACATGTTTAGACGAACTCTAAACATGTTTAGACGAACTCTAAACATGTTTCGACGCACTCTAAAAATGTTTTAATGCACTCTAAACATGTTTGGACGCACTCTAAACATGTTTCGACGCACTTTAAACATATTTGGATGCGCTTTGAATATGTTTTGACGTGCTCTAAACATGTTTCGACGCACTCTAAACATCTTTTGTTACACTCAAAACATGTTTCAACGCACTCTAAACATGTTTCAATGCACTCTAAAAATATTTTGATGCACTCTAAACATGTTTGGATGCACTTTAAAAGTGTTTGGACGCACTCTAAACGTGTTTGGATGCACTCTAAGTGTGTTTGGATGCACTCTAAGTATGTTTGGATGCACTCTAAACATGTTTGGATGCATTCTAAGTGATGAGGACATCACTAGGACACAGGACCGACCACATTCAAATGTCCAAAAGGAACTTCAAGTGCAGGGGCCATTGACTCGAGCTAGGGTGAAGAAACTGCAAGCGGCTTTCGTGCGTATGATTCAAGAGGAGTTCAGAAATGGGCTAATAAAACATATCAGTGGCCCAAACATCACTCCAAGTCCAACCAACAACAAAGGCCCAACTTTCAAGCCCATGAACTTAATAAGGCTTCTTGAAAGCCCAAAAGAGGAGATGATGTAAGCGTGACACCGAAATGACTCAACATCCACCAACTTACCAAAGTCAAAAGTGGAGGCAATCAATGGTCAAAAGTTTCAATCAAGAGTCAAAAGCTTCAATCAAAATCCTCTTTGTTCAAATTTATCATGATTATGTTTTTTTTCTTTATTCAAATTTCTCATTATTATGTTCCCTTTTGTAAGCCTATATAAGGCACCCAAATTCTCATTTGTAAGACACCTTATCTTTTAATCAAATTTGAGAGTTTTCTCCTTGAAGTTCCTTTGAGAACTACATCTCGAACTCCAATCGAATTCATTGGTGTTCTTCGGCTTATCAAGCATTAATCCGCAAGTGCTTGTGGCGCCTTCGCTGTTGGCTAGAGTTCCTAAGTCGGGTTTGACAAGGGTTAGAGACGGCCTATTCCAGGTTTGGGTTCTAGTTTTTGTTACAAGTTACTTAGGGGTTTTAGAACAAAACCCACCGCCTAGTTTATCATATAAGAACTTGGATCCGGGTGCGTATCATTTGGTATCAGAGCCCCGTTCTTGTTTAAACTAGGATTACCTCTATTTATCATTTTATTTTGTTTTGTTTTTCTTGAAATTTTGTGTTGCAAAGTTTGAGAAAAAAAAAAAAAGAAAGAAGAAAAAAAAAAGAGAAAAAAAAAATATTACAAAAAAAAAAGTACAAAAAAAGAGTGTTATCTTTCTGAATTCAAAAGTTTTATTTTTCAAAGAGTGTTTCTTTTTTTTAATTAAATTTTATGCTTCTATAATGTCGAGAACCTTACTACATTCTAATTCTTAAAAAAAAAAATTCGATTTTAGGATTCTTAATAACAGTTAAGGTGTTATAGGTACTTGTTCCTCAAAGGGTTAAGCTTAGACTAACCAGTTCACCGTTGTTTGAGTCTTGAGAGTTCTCGATTTAGTTCGAACAAGGCCTTACAAGGAGAAAAGGAGAGTTTGAGTGATATCTCTGAGTGAAACACTTTCTGGAGAGTTTGTGAGGTTCTATCATCTTCTTAATTTTTGTCCCCTTTCTGTTTATTTCTGACGCTTGTTAGTTTGCAGCATAAGTTCTAATCATGTCAGGAAACGAACGTGCTAATGAACCACCACCAGCTGATGTCAATGGACCACAGTTGATGGATGTTATAGCAGGCTTACAGCGCATGATGGAGACAATGCAACAACGACTGGATATGATGGAAATTAACAACCGAGCAAATTTGCAAGCTCAACCCTTTCCACCACCGGAAGAAGAAGCATTTGAGCACGATCCTTATCCTGCACAGAGAGCGCCACGTCAAGCTCCACGCCGAGGAGAGCGAGTTGAAGATGACGACTTAAGCGGTATTAAGATGGAGATTCCTAACTTCAGTGGAAGGAATGATGCAGAAATCTACCTTGAGTGGGAGCGAAAGGTGGAGATGGTATTTGATTGCCATCGATATTCTGAGCTAAAAAAGGTAAAGCTAGCAGCTGCGAGATTCAACGATTATGCGCTCTTGTGGTGGGATCAATTGGTTATATCCAGAAGACGCAATAGGGAAAGATCGATCGTGACTTGGGAGGAGATGCGAAATGCGATGAGGCGACGTTTTGTACCAGCACACTTTCATCGTGAGGTACATCAACGTTTGCGTAGACTTGTACAGGGTAATCGAAATGTTGAAGATTACTACAAGGAGATGGAGATGCTTATGATCCGTGCTGGCATAGAAGAGGATCCAGAAGCAACCATGGAGCGGTTTATTGGAGGGTTACACCTTGATATTCAAGACCGCGTAGAAACTCACCAATACGGAGACATAGAGGATCTATTGCACCTTGCCATCAAGATTGAGCAGCAGCTTAAGAGGAAGGGCAAATCGGGTCAGAAATTTGGGAGCACGTCTCAAGGCTCTCGTCCTGACTATGTCAAACCGGAGCGTTCGTTGCCTCACCCTACTAACGAACCGAAGAGCGATGTGTCCAAGCACAAGAACACACATACGGGTAACACTAATCCTCCTCTCCGAACTCGTGATATTAAGTGTTACAAATGTTTGGGCAATGGGCATTTTGCGAGGGAATGTCCAAACCGAAGGACAATGGTGATACGGACCAATGGTGAGTTGGTTTCCGACGATGATGAGGTCGATGACTCTCAACCAGCGAAAGTTATGGACGATGATTATGCTAGTGATGGGATGGATCAATTTCCTGCCAAAGGAGAGCTTTTGGTAGCAAGGAGAGCTCTCAACATTAATGCAAAGGAGGAAACAGATGAGCAACGTGAGAATATATTCCACACTCGTGCCTATGTCCAAGGCAAGGTATGTATTCTCATCATAGACGGTGGAAGCTGCACTAATGTGGCTAGCACATCACTTGTAGAGAAGCTGAACTTGTCCACTACGAAACACCCACGACCTTATAAGCTACAATGGCTTAATGATAGTGGAGAGACACGGGTATTCAAGCAAGTTCGAGTGCCTTTTCGCATTGGTAAGTATGAAGATGAGGTACTTTGCGATGTAGTACCGATGCAGGCAGACTTGTTCAGTAGGGTTATTATCTATATGTTTAAGGTTTACAACTGAAAAATTTGCGAAATTAAGTAAGGTGAGACGGTTTGACGATTCTGACGGTTTTGACGGGTGAGATGGTTTGACGAGTGTGACGGTTTGACGGGTGAGACGGATTTTTAGAAAAAAAGTTGCTCTAAATCAAGTTTTGGCGGTTCGATGTGGTGTAAATGGGTTATTATAACATATTTAACGTGTTTCTGTTATTCGAAGTTCCTCTGAAAAAAATATATCATCTACCCTAACCAATGTGTGACACAATCTCTACTAAAACCTTAGTGTTGTGTTTGGGGTTTAGGACATTGTCTCAAATAAGGTAGGGTTTCGAAAGTAGGGAGTTAGGATGAGTTCCAAGTTAAGACACTTGTTCAGTAGGGTTATTATCTATATGTTTAAGGTTTACAACTGAAAAATTTGCGAAATTAAGTAAGGTGAGACGGTTTGACGATTCTGACGGTTTGACGGGTGAGATGGTTTGACGAGTGTGACGGTTTGACGGGTGAGACGGGTGAGACGGGTTGATGAGTGAGACGGATTTTTAGAAAAAACGTTGCTTTAAAAATGAGCAAGTACAAAGAACAATAGAAATGAGCATTCGTAGGCAACTTAGAAATGAGAAGTACAAAGATGTTCCTAATTAGAAATCCTGGGACAAAGATGTTCCTGATTAAAATGAGCAAGTAGAAAGAACAAAAGAGGTTCATGACGAAGACTTTGGGCATTCTTCTGGAGGTACCGTGACTTCCTTGCCATTAGCAAATATATCACATGCAACTTTCTCCCGCATAAAATATATCATCTCATCGTTCACCTGTTCCAATAATTTTGGCTCACCTTTGTAGAGTGCCTCCGCATATTTGATGCTGTAAATGCCGCATTCATTTCCTATTTCATTCTGAGGTAGGTCGGACATTACCTCCATGGAAAACATGCATGAGACGTCAATTCGTTTGGTCCCGCTCCTCTTGAAGACATCTGGGATACTTCTGCATAACTTGTGAATGACTTTAAGGGTGGCCGCCTTCATCTTCCGGTTGCAATCATATACTTGAATTAGAGTGTTGGAGAAGTCCACTTTAATTGTCACCCAATGGACAGACACGCCAGGATTTGTCAATGACGGAATATTCAGCACACTAATGAAACCTTTGTAATGCTCCAATTTTCGGGATCCACCGCCAAGTGGTAAATCTCCACTGATATATTGTCCAATACCGTCGAGTTCTTTCTGCCCTATTTCCCAATACTTGAAGTATTCACAACACTGCACGTCACAAAGAAAGAACTTCTTGTGGACAGGTTCCAGATTTTGCACACGTTGACGGATTTCATACATTGCTTCGTTGATATGCTGTAAAAATAAAAAAAACAATCAAACACACTATGAATAGCCGGACTAATCAAACTAGTATAAACTGTCATAATACTTACATCGTCCGTGAGAATAAACGACCGACACGCAAGAGAAAGACGACTGTTAAAAGCCCATACACTGCATTTGCTTCGACAGATCCACCTCCCAAAAAGCAACGGGCAAAGAGAGAGTCCAAAGGTAAAAAGGGAAGAAAGGAAAGAAAGGAAAAAAAGGAATCTACGACGCAAATGGAATCTCAGATTCCTACAGGAGATAGATCAGCCACATTAAAAGTAGGACTAATGCCATACTCACCTGGAAGTTCAATCTTGTAGGCATTGTTGTTAATCCGTTCAAGAACCCGGAAAGGTCCTTCGCCTCTCGGCATGAGTTTCGACTTCCTTTGACTAGGGAACCGCTCCTTCCGCATGTGAACCCACACCAAGTCGCCAGGTTTGAATATGACCTCTCTACGCCCCTTGTTGGCTTGCTTGATGTATTGTTCGGTCCGTCTCTCGATGTTCTTCCTCGCCTTCTCATGTATCTGCTTCACAAACTCGGCCTTTTTCTTACCATCAAGGTTAGTTTGTTCAGACATAGGTAATGGACTTAAATCCAATGGAGTCGTCGGATTAAATCCATACACGATTTCAAACGGAGAATAACGAGTACCACTATGCACAGATCGATTATATGCAAACTCAACATGAGGTAAACAGTCCTCCCACGTTTTAAGATTCTTGCTGATCAATGCTCTAAGCAACGTGGATAGTGTTCTTGGAGCAGTTAGGAGCTTCCATGGACTGGCTGGATTCTACCGACGATTTGTCAAGGATTTTAGCACTATCGCAGCCCCATTGACGGAGATCATAAAGAAAGACGTGGGTTTCAAGTGGGAAGAAGCTCAAGAGAAAGCCTTCCAAGACCTAAAAGGGAAGTTGACGCATGCACCACTCCTTGCGCTTCCTAATTTCGAAAAGACCTTTGAGATTGAATGTGATGCGTCTGGTGTAGGTATTGGAGCAGTCCTAATGCAGGAGAAGAGACCCATAGCCTTCTTTAGTGAGAAGCTTAGTGGAGCTCAACTCAACTACCCGACTTACGACAAGGAGCTTTATGCATTGGTACGATCGCTGCAGACATGGCAACATTACCTATGGCCTAAGGAGTTCGTCATCCATACCGATCACTCCTCATTGAAGTATTTGAAAGGTCAGCACAAGCTTAACCGTCGACATGCTAAGTGGGTAGAATTCATAGAGATGTTTCCTTATGTGATACGCTATAAGCAAGGAAAGGAGAACGTGGTAGCTGATGCATTATCTAGGCGACACACATTGTTATCTACATTGGATGCTAAGCTACTAGGTTTTGAGCATATCAAGGAACTCTATGAATCGGACATAGACTTTAGGGAACCATATGAGTCGACTGAGCAACATGCTATTGGTAGTTATTTTCGACATGATGGGTTCTTGTTTAGGGGGAACAAGCTTTGCATTCCTCACTGTTCATTACGTGATTTGCTTGTTCATGAGTCTCATAGTGGAGGACTAATGGGACACTTTGGAGTGGCCAAGACGTTGTCTATGTTGCAGGAACATTTTTACTAGCCACATATGAAGAGAGATGTGGAGCGAATCTGTGGGAGATGCATTACATGCAAGAGGGCTAAGTCTAAGCTTCAGCCTCACGGTTTGTATTCTCCCCTCCCCCACATTCAAATGTCCAAAAGGAACTTCAAGTGCAGGGGCCATTGACTCGAGCTAGGGTGAAGAAACTGCAAGCGGCTTTCGTGCGTATGATTCAAGAGGAGTTCAGAAATGGGCTAATAAAACATATCAGTGGCCCAAACATCACTCCAAGTCCAACCAACAACAAAGGCCCAACTTTCAAGCCCAT